ACCTGGTCAATAGAATGCAAAAATCTTAAATTATAGTAAATACAAAAACACGACCACAATTATATTTAATAATAAAAATAAATAATGATAAGATATGTTTGAAAGTGTAGACACTCAAAAATGATAATTGCAGAATGTGTCACTATTTATTTAGAGGTCACACATGAACGTTCAACATTCGTCCTCACTCATCTCTTCTAGTGTTTGGTAAAGTGTGTGTTGTTTGGTCACTGACCCGTAGAAATGTCCCCTGATGAACTCCTGAATCCGGCTCTTGCTCTGAGCGTGGAGATTTTGAAACTCATGCATGGCTGAGAACTTCTTCACATTGAGCCCGTTGGGAGTTATGATGTCTGTGTTTGACAGAGAAAATCATTCCAGTTAAGTCTCAACCTGAATTAGAGCAACGAGACATTGAGACATTCTGTGAAAAGCAGCGAGACATTAAATCGACATTTGGAGAGAGCCGCTCTCTCAGCCAGTGGTAAATAAGTAGAGTGTGAAATTTAAATTTCTGAATGTAACATCAAACATCAGTGCCCCTACACACACCTGGTTTCCTCTTGAGTAGGTACTCGGCCTCAATGGCTGTAATTTGCGACACAGTGGTGAAGACATGAGCACAGTGAGCAGCCGACCGCTCCAAACAGTAGCGATGGTAGATCTGTCTATCGCCTGCTTCCTTATCACAGTTGAACTGAAGGAGACACACGTGTTAGATCATCTATTCTTTCCTGTTTATTTTATTACAACCCTCTGCAATAAATCTGTATGTACACACCTCTGCAAGGTTGTTATAGAAGTCCACATTTCCAGCACACAAGTATCGTCCCAGCAGCGTAGCGTGAGTCGTGAAGATGGTTGCAACAGGCAGCTTTCTGTGTCTACACAACACCAGGCCCAGGCCGGCCAACCATTCATGGAAATGTGCCACGATGTGTGGAGGCTCCTCACTCTGAGCGGCAAACTGTGACACAGGAGAACACAGGGTCAGTGGTGACCACACACACACATTCAGCAACCAGGGTTGTTGTCAGTTGACGTGAGCTGCTGACCTCTCCCAGTAGCCAGGCCGTCAGGAAGCCAAACAGCACGGCATCGTTGGCCTCGCGGTCGAACCAAGGCACGCCGATATCACAGAGCTCCCATAGCTCGCTCTTCCAGCGGTCCAGAGACCAGGCAGTGAACGCAACATCAATCAGAACAACGTAGGGACTGCCCTCGATAAGCCAGCGCCCGAAGTAGATCTGCAGGGGAAACGGAGAAAAGGCTGAGAGGTGGAAAATGTACTTTAATAGAATAATATGTAATAAGATGACATTGGAAATGTTACAAGGTTTGTGGTTAACCATCGTTTTAAATATAAAAATAGTACAAACTATTCAAATCTCATGAAACAAGTTCTTACTTCAAGTGTCACAACTGCAACTCCTGCATTTGGTTACATGCATTGATGAGTTATTTACTTTTACTAGGTTTAAATAGAGAGTGAGCTAGATTCATGGGCTCTTCATTCTTTCTCACAGCTCATGAGATTAACCTTGAATCACAATCAGAGTAGGTTGCTTCAAGCAGGTAAGACTTAAGAGTAAATGGCTCGCTGATCAGAAAAACTGATTTTCAGTACAGATAGCTCTGGTGTCGGCCTGTCATGGGACTAAAGGTTATCTGATGCAAAGGTCATTCAAATAGGATTCATTGAAAAGGCTGCACTATCCCTTTAAAATAGCAGCACTGCCAGCCTTGGTCTTGACCCATAATTCCACAGCAACAGAGCACAAAGCATTTAAATATCTCCCTCACTCACTCACACACACACACATCTATTTTTGGAGTGTGTGTGAGTGTGTGTGTGTGTGTGTGTGTGTGTGTGTGTGTGTGTGTGTGTGTGT